AAAAAAGGAAAAGAAACAAGTGTCAAAGGAACAGCAGTACACATTTTTTCAGGTCCCAGTACAGAAATAGATAAACTAAATAGAGACAGAGAGTTACATTGTCCTTTGTTGTCGCTAATTTGCTATCAGTTTAAATATACGGCACCCTCAAAACAAGGCCAGGCAGCAGGTAAGTGCGATGAGGCTCACATTGATTTGTCTGTAGAAAAAATATTACACATCAAACTAATATTTGTGTGTAGGCTATGCTCTATATTTCTTATTAGACTACCAGACTAGAATTAATTGTTAATTGTCATTAATTGAGTCTAGAAGGACTTTAAGTAATGGCAGTAAGCAACAGAGCTGGGGGCTTTTAATCACAACTGTAAAGGCATGGAGTGAAAGTGCTGTTTGTTTCTAATAGGCCTCTCACACCTGTCACAGGAGCGAGCAGGAGGAGCTACAAACACTTCTCTCTCTTTTTATCCCTGAATAATGGTTGAACAACCATTACATTCACAGAATGTCAGTCTGTCAGTCAGCGCCTGAGAAACCATGAGACTGTAAAATTCCAATGTGTCATTTCTGAGGAGACGGGAGAGAAAGCACACAGTCGATTGCTGTCATTTGTAATTCTGACCATGCAAACACACACAGACGCACCTTCACACATTCACGCAGACACATCCCAGCTGTCAAAATCTGTCTGTGTGCTTTCCTCCGACATCAGTAGAACAGAGTCGACAAACAGTGTCTCGAAACGCTCTGAAAACTCTCTCGATTTCCCTCAGTTATGCTTCAGCAGGTCTACTGACAGTGACTCTTTTCTTCTCCATTCAGAACACCCAGTTATAACTACGCCCCTAATCCAGACAAACACTGGATTATGCGCTACACCGGCCCCATGAAGCCCATTCACATGGCAGAACAGAGTCGACAAACAGTGTCTCGAAACGCTCTGAAAACTCTCTCGATTTCCCTCAGTTATGCTTCAGCAGGTCTACTGACAGTGACTCTTTTCTTCTCCATTCAGAACACCCAGTTATAACTACGCCCCTAATCCAGACAAACACTGGATTATGCGCTACACCGGCCCCATGAAGCCCATTCACATGGAGTTCACCAACGTACTGCAGCGCAAGAGACTGCAAACCCTGCTGTCTGTGGATGATAGTGTGGAGAAGGTACATCAGTTATACATGTTATGCAAATATTTGCCAAAATGCCAATATTTTTTAAATTTTATATTTTTATATATTTTATTTTTTTATTTTTTTATTTTGATGTATGAATCATGTTCCTAAGACATTTCCTACCTTTACTCCATATATTCCATGGTACTGAATAATTCTAACACTTTTCTACATTTTCTAACACTTTAAGGCACTTTAAACAATATTAAAGTACTACGGTACGTGATATTGCAATCATTGATGTTTTAATATTAATTATGTTTTGTTATGGTATTTACAGTATTAATGTTCTGAATAAGCTTGTATTTTAATATTTTCAGTTTAAAGTTTTAGTTGTTTTTTGTGTTTTTATCATTTTATTATTTTATAGTTTTTGTCTTTTTAAAATATATATATTTTTAAATACTGTAATTTATTTATTTTTAATTGTCTATTTTTATTAAATTTTTTTATAATTTTAGTACTTTTTTTATTTCAGTTAGTTGCCTAGGCAATATTTTCATCTAATATTTGATATTTTATTTCAGCTTAATTTCAATTAACAAAATTATTTTTAATTGTTTCAGTGAACAGTAACACTGAGTGCAGTGGTCCATTTCACATTAATTAATTAATTCATCCATCCATCCATCCATTCATTCATTCATTCATTCATCCATTCTTTCATTCATCCATTCATCCATCCATCCATCCATTCATCCATCCATTTATCATCCATCCATTCATTCATCCATTCATTCATCCATCCATTCATTCATTCATTCATCCATCCATTTATCCATTCATTCATCCATCCATCCATCTACCCATTCATTCATTCATCTATCCATTCATTCATTCATCCATCCATCCATCCATCCATCCATCCATTCATTCATCCATCCATTCATTCATTCATTCATTCATCCATCCATTCATCCATCTATCCATTCATTCATCCATCCATCCATCTACCCATTCATTCATTCATCTATCCATTCATTCATTCATTCATCCATCCATCCATCCATCCATCCATTCATTCATCCATCCATATATCCATCCATCCATCCATCCATTCATTCATCCATATATCCATCCATCCATCCATCCACCCATTTATTCATTCATTCATCCATCCATCCATCCATTCATCCATTCATCCATTTATTCATTCATCCATTCATCCATCCATCCATTCAGTCATTCATTCATGTAAGTAAATGTACAGTTCTTGCTCAAGAAAATGAAATTTCATCAAGCCAGGCACATATAACATTCAAATTCTCTTGGATTCACACTAAAAAGTCCCATGATGCTTTTGTCTGTTTTTTCTCCAGAATTTTTGTTTGACCGCAACCACAAAAAGGCTGTTGTTCCTTATAATTTATTCTGCCATTGTTATGTTTCTTCTGTCTGAATGCAGATATACAACATGTTGGTGGACACTGGGGAGCTGGACAACACATTTGTGATCTACACGGCTGACCACGGATACCACATCGGTCAGTTCGGCCTGGTCAAGGGGAAATCCATGCCCTATGAGTTTGACATCAGAGTTCCCTTTTACATCCGCGGCCCAAATGTGGAGGCAGGAGGCATGTGAGTGTGTATGCCATGACGCCATCCAAGAGACGAGCCAAAGACAACCCTCAAAAAAGCATAGTGGTTTTAGATGGTAGTACCATGATAAGTCTATATTTATATTTATTCATATATTTATTTATATCAATACAACATTTTTATATAATATAATCTCAAAATTAAAGCTCTTAAAATATTATTTCCCAAAAAAGTATATATTTAGTAACATATATAATTAGATAATTTTATATAACATTTATGTCTATAGTAATTCATCTTTGTTATGGTAATGGTTTTTGTACAGAGGCCAAAGTTACTCTTAAATGAGGTCTAAATTTGATTTATGGGGTTTTAATGACTTTCCAATGTCCAATGTCCAAAGAGAGAGAGAATGAAATCAGCACATGTTGCAGGCCATATTTGAACCTGCATCCCCACCGGAGCACTCTTTCGCTCATCAGCATTTAATATCATTAGTCACTAGTCTGGTTTACCACTGCTGTGTGATCTGGCTTCTCTCTTTCTCAGAAAAGCTGATTAACAGTAGTAAAGACTACTCATGTGAAGACCACAAGATTTTTACTGTGAATGAAAGGCACAGAAAAGAGGATAAAGAGTTTGGCTGGAGACTCGGGGTGAGAAAGGCACAGCTGGGGCCAGTTCAACATCAGATGAGCCTTCAGGCAATAAAAAAAGAGAGAGAGAGAGAGAGAGAGAGAGAGAGAGAGAGAGAGAGAGAGAGATGAGCCTAATTTACTTTTTGAAAACTGAGCGGATGTGATCGGATTAATCTCCACTGAGTTTCAGTCCACTGACTTCACAGGATTTGAAATGGTCAGTTAAAATTGACACTCATCAGTTTTGAATCATTTTTTAAATCAAAATGAGCAGCTACAGTTAGGCACGTTGATGGGGTTTGATGTGTTCTTCAGCATCAGAAGGTGAATGTTTAATGTGTCAGGCAAAGAGGTTTATAATAGAATTCTCTGTTAGCTCAGTTCTTCTCAACCAGGGGCCTCAGCACACTTACAAGGGGGCCACAAGATGATTCAAAATAGGACAAAACAAGCTTTAAAATAAACTAAAACAGCTAAAAAGATGATGATGATAATAATAATAATAAACTTGACTTTATATAGGGCCTTTAAAAGTTGCATCTCAAAGAGCTTTACAAAAATTAAAAGTACTTTGAAAAAAAAGAAAAAATCAAAACAATTTTCAGAAAAAGAAGAATATAATATAAAATAAAAACTGTTACAAAATATTCTATTTCTCTCACCGTCTGTATCTTATTATCATTCAGTGTTCACGTGCTGCTCGTCTGGTTTCTGACCATTATGTCAAATGGCGACCCCCCTCTTCTGTTTCCATAGCAACCCCCACATCGTGTTGAACATAGACTTGGCACCCACCATCCTGGACATCGCAGGGATGGACGTTCCCCCAGACATGGACGGCAAGTCCATCCTCAAGCTCCTGGACACAGACCGCATGATGAACAGGTGAGGATGTCTCCTGAAGTCTGCCAGGTTTTTTTTTTGTTATGTTGAGTATTTCTGAAAAGGAAGGGGAAATAATATACGGTGCTTGTTAATTTTGTCCACTTGACTGGATTGTGGACAGTGGACGTGCTACGTGAGTTTATTGATCAATACTATTATTCACTGCCTGGGCTTCCTTGGTTACATCAGCAGAATAAAAAAGTCAAAATTGGTGTGTATTGGCATGACAAATATCCAGAGATATTTATTAAAGAAGTTTGGTATATTAAGGGGCGAATTCACCAACCATATCTATCTGTTTTCCTTCATTTTATCATCATTTGATGAATAATTCCTGCCGTGATCAGTCAAAAATGTCTTTTACTAGGGGTGTGAATATTTAGGAACCTCACGATTCAATTCCAAAATGATTTGTGATTTTAGTCGAAATTATTCTTGATCTTTTCATTTTATTTCAATTATATTTCATTTATACGTTTAATGCCTTAATTCTAAGCACTTTTTTAAAACAAATACAAATGACCAATAAATGAAAACAATTGAATGTTAGGTAATTGTCAACTAATTAAATAAAGCTTCAAAACATCTAGAATCACTGAAAAGAAAATCACAATGCAACTGACCATCTTTTTTCTTTTATATGATCCTTTATATGAACAGTACAATGCCTTTTTTGAACAAGAGGCAATCTATAATTAACCTAATTTACATATGAAGGAGGTGTGTTTGTGTTGAAAGGAATGACAGAAATGTAATTTACTGTAAATCCCCACAGCACATTGCCGTTTCAGCACATTTGGCACCTGGGTGAACTGGATTGAGGGTGGTTTGTGAGTAAAACGCAGGTTAGCAGCATAGACTGTATAAAAACATGGACATAGTGTCCGTGACGTCACCCGTAGGTTCCTGAAGAGTGTTTTTAAAGCTCAAAAGTGGGTGGAGGCGGCCGTCGCCATCTTGGCAGCATGTCACCGTGCGTCACTCCCGGATAATCGAAGATGGGCAAAGAGGCGGGAGCTGGTTGCTGAAACCACGCCCACCTAGCTCGACGGTGGTGACAGCAGCGGCAATCCACCTGTCACTCAAGTGGCCATGTCCTTAATTATGCAGAACTTTAAGGCTTAATATAATTTTAACGGATGAGTTATAAAAAAATTCACCCCCCTCACAGTTGTCATGAAGGGCAAAATTAGCTATATAGACCAAAATCATTTTTTGAACCAGGCTGTAAACGTTTTTTTCTGCTGTAAAGTTGGGCATTTTAACGTGGGGGGTCTATGGGATTGACTCCCTTTTGCAGCCAGCGTCTAACGGCCAGTTGACAAATTACAGTTTAAGTCACTTCCGTGTTGGCTTCACGAGAGAGAGCGGGATGTTGCCGCTTGGTTAGCACATGCAAAAGTTGCACGGCTGCTTAATAAATTCGCTCCTCAGTGTTATATTTCTCAGTGCAGAATCAACACTTAAAAATAAAGGTTCTTTATTGGCATCAATGGTTCTATGAAGACCCTCAAACATCCATGGAACCTTTCAAATGCAGAAAAGGTTCTTTATAGTCGAAAAAATATCCTACTGATTTTTGGCATAAAAGAAAAATCGATAATTTTGATCCATACAATGTATTTTTGGCTATTGCTACAAATATACCCCAGCGACTTAAGACTGGTTTTGTGCTCCAGGGTCACAAATGTTCTTCAAAATGGTTCTTTTAGGAACTGTTCACTGAAAGGTTCTTTGGGGAACCGAATATGGTTCTTAATTATGGTGCATCACATCAAAAACACCCTTTTGGAACCTTTATTTTTAAGAGTGGACAGCACTAGTTAGTTCACTGTATTACTTGATCAGTTTGTAATGCTGAGGTTCCTGAGGATAATGACACATTGCATTCAGAGCAGTTTGAACAGCACCTCGCCTCACTTCATTGTCATTGAGTGGCAGCAGATGGCGGTCTGCCAGGCATCCTACTGGCACAGAGCCCCCCTCATCACCATGACACCTGCTGAAATCTCATCTCTGCACTCTTCCGCTAGCCCGCGTACCTCTTTTATTTCAGATGAGAGGAAGAGATGCATATCTCAGCAGGAGGTGGGGGGGGACAGGAAATAAGAAATCTGGAGGAAAGAGGGGCTTTCAGGAAAAATAACTGGCAGGGAGATGGAGGGCTTGCACTTCCCTTGTGCTCTCAATCAGCTCAGATAGACACTAATTAAACAAGGACCTCTATATTTCATCAGCTTCCACGTGCTGAGGTGTTCTTGTTGGGTTTTGAGGGCATCTCAAAACAGTTGCTAGGGTCTCTGGGTGTTTACCAGGTGGTTGAATAAACCTATCCCCAAGATATTCTGGTCCTAATTATGACTAATAATAAGCGTTTGTGATATGATGATAGTAAATCGTGAATGATTAAACTGTCTCCACAAACTGACTTTACAGCTATGTTTTATGACAGTGCAGTGTCTGTTTTTGTATTATTATTGAAATGAAATAAAGTGAAATATGATTTTAGTCATATTACCCACCGTTTTATTTCTTCTTTTATACTTTGTTGTAGGGCTATATTTCCTTAAACATGGAAATTAATTTTGTTGTGCTGCTAATTAACTTGCAAAAACCAACATCAAAAAGAATAGTGAACATAAATCGTGATCCTGTTTGAAAAAAAAAAAATTGTGGTGATATTTTTGCCATATTGCCCACTACTGCGGTTACTGAAACCATGCCTTCTTTCTTTGCATGCACATTTGGGTGGCATCATGCTAATATTTCCACATAGTGATGTAGACATGTGGGGGCATGTTAGAACGAGCCATTTTAGGGGGGCGTGGCTGAATCTTAACTTTTATAAAGAATATCTCTTTGGGTTTGAGACTTTAGTCTTTGCAACTTTACAAATCTTCTTTATGCACCAAGAGCTTGTAACACTCCAAAGAGAAAGAAAAAATTGAAATCGCATCATATGACCCCCTTTAAAACATAAAACAATAAATGATTTCATAGCAAGGACCCTGCGGACCCTCATGGCTGTGTCAGCGTCAGTAAGTCATATAAATATTAGATAATTTGACCTTTCTATGACAAGCAAGGCTAGCTCAGTTTGTTGCTACTTAAAATAGTATTGAATTTATCCTTTTTTCTCGTTTTTTTATTATTATTATCATTATGACCCAATAGTACACCACTTTTCAATAAACCCCATAATTTAGTATCATTCATGTCCAAAACACAAATGGCATGGGGCAAAGTACGCATAACTTTGGCTTTGGAGTTTGTGAACTGATGATGCCTTAGCATGTACCACTAACAATAGGAGTCTGAATAGGAGAAAAGGCCAGCCAGAACACTCCTAAATCTGGCAGAAACTCCTGCGGAGATCAGAGAGGGTGTGTGAGAGCACCGATCGATAGCTCATATCTGCAGAGAAGGTCAGGAGGTGCACAGAGCACTTGTGTTTCCTCACCTCCACATCTCCTTCTGTTTTTCATCAGGGATAGTAGAGGGGAAGAAAAAACACTTTAAATTGCAGGCTGGGTTTCAGTTTTTCAGCATTACGATTTTTTCACTATTTTTCAATCTCAGCCTCAACTTGTTGCATTTAGTCATCGTTTGAGTCCACTGAGAAACAGCCCATTTCTGGACAATTTGCTGTTCCAGGTGATCAGTACCAAAGCCGGTAGATCAATTTCCATCCGTCTCTCCTAATTGCAGGTTCCAGCTCAACAAGAAAGGAAAAGTGTGGAGGGACTCGTTCCTGGTGGAGAGAGGGTGAGTCAGCGCAAATTAAATGTGAAAACAGCCGGAGAGCTCTGGGTTTTTGGTGTGAAAGGTCAGTGTCTGTTTATTCAGATAACATGAGATTTTTCTCTTCATCTCTGGTGACAGAAAACTGCTGCATAAAGTGTTGAATGATGGGAAGGATATGGCCCAGGAGGAAAACTACCTGCCCAAATACCAGCGTGTTAAAGACCTGTGCCAGCGTAGAAATAAATTACATTCTAAAATATATTGCAATAGAAAATAGTTATTTTAAACTGTAATTATATTTCACGATATTACTGTTTTTATCAAATAAATGCAGCTTTGCTGAGCATATTATTTTTCTCATAAATCTTATTTTTTGCAAACGTATAACCATTAGTACAGTATGTAATTACAGAGGTACTACACTGAAGGTACTTAACCATAATTTTGCCATTACACTATGTCCATAGACATGGTCATACTTTTTGTCAGTATAGACCCTCACAAGTAAAGTATCTGTGAGTGTGTGTGTGTGTGTGTGTGTGTGTGTGTGTGAGCCATCTTATGAAACAGAAGTGAGAACAGAGAGACGTCTGAGCTGTCAGATCAGACACCTGAAATTTCATGCTCTCACTTTCACTCTAACAAGACTGGCCCACTGTAGTCCTCCAGGGACCTGCAGCCCGTTCCTGCATTACCTATTCTCTCCATCCCTTTCTCTTTTCTCCATCTCTTTCTTTCGTTTTTTATGTCAGGCTTTATTCGTCCATCTGCTTTTCTGCTTTGATCAAGGAACAGTCTGTCGTTACATACCTTCACACTTTTGCAAGCAAGAAAAACGTCTAACTTTCAACCCAAGAAAAAGGGAAAATTGCACCTACCGAAAGTGTTGTTTGTGTGCACATGCTATCTGCATTGTTTTAACACCTTATTTACTTAAAGAGATAGTTCACCCCAAAATTAAATTCTGTCATCATTTCTCACCCTCATTTTAAAGAATGTTGGTAGCCAGACAGTTGCTGGTATGTTGCTTCCATTGTATTTTTTTCCATACTATGGAAGTCAATGGCTACCATCAACTCTTTGGTTACATTTTTCAAAATATTTTCTTGTGTGTACAACAGAAAAAAGAAATTCATACAGGTTTGGATTGACATGAGGATGAGTAAATGACAGAATTTTCATTTTTGGGTGAAATATCCCTTTAACCTCTTAACTGTCACGCTAATCATCCTAAATTAGATATATTTTGAAAGCTTAAACACTTAAAATTAATCTTGTGAAAACTATTTTGTTACTATGAAAATGATACTTTAAATGCTTTTGGCGGGCTCCTCTCCCTAGTGAGCAGTGTCAAGTGCCATGTTACAAAATTTGCTACAATATTTTATAATCAAAACTTTTTGGAGTCTCAAGGTTCCATATTTGGTGATTATTTTGTGGTAGAAGTAATACTGTGACAGAAATGTATAACTTTTTGACAGGGAAATGCATCAAAAAGTTAAATGGAGTATGAGTGTCACCCGGAGACTATTTTTGATATAACGCCTAAAATCTCACAGGAACCTCTTTTTTTTTTTTTTTGTGATATCAACTTCAAATTTGGAACATAACCGAGTTAGATACATGGCTTTGATTTTATAGCAATTTTACATTCCAAAGTACTTTGTAAAATATTTATTTTATGAGAAAATATATCTTTTTTTAGTGCAGTACATTTACTCAGATTTATTTGTATAGCGATTTTCATAATACACATTGTTACACAAGTAGTTTTACAGAAATCATGCTTTACATCTGCATTTAGCCGATTAGAGCTGGTTTTTGCAATATAGTATATGCACTTTACATGATGTATGTATGCAGTATAATGTATGTCTGCAGATAAATTTGGATATTATGCACATCCAACTTTATATATTCGGCAATAATATTGTTACGTTATGCAATAAAAATAAAAGTCATGGAGTTGAAATTTGCTATATAGATTTACATGAGTGTACTGTATGTATGCGGGTAAGTGGGATATGATATATACTATATATATATCAAACTTTACATATAGAGCTGTGCAATAACACAGTCTACATTTTGTGGTGATATAAAATAGCACCTGGAACAAAATGCTGGATTGGCCCTCATAGCTTCTTTCATTTACCAGCCATGTCTTTACCTACAAGGCCACTAGAAAGACGACTAAAAAGAAAGGCATGTTCCCCTCATCTCTCTGATAGTGTGCAGCCCTAAGCACTCTGTTACTTATGTTCCTCATTAACGAGGCTTTTAACGAGGTGGATTTGTGATAATTACAGCTGAGTAAAAATGCCGACACCAGGCGGGGGGTTAATTTTCACCGTTACTTCCGGCGTATAAGCACACTCATCCACGCACACAGTCATCACGGCGAAAAGTTAATGGGTGTTGATGGTGTCAAACAAATTGTGTTCGTGAGCAGACGCTGTCAAATACAGTTCAGTCACAGAGGACCGAGCTAAGAATATTTGATAAGAACGCGTAAGATATTTTGCCTTGAGTCACATCAAGAGAGCTGGCTTTCTATGGTATCATATGGTAATGCTACTGTACTTTTGCATCATGTTTTTGTATGATAAAATATTATCTTGGTACCTTTAAAGAAAAATCATGATATTACCCTGGTACCACGTCCAAGCAACTGTGGCAATACCGTACCTTTTGTTACTGTATATGAATCATCTTTGAGAGTAAAACTGCATGATGTCCCTCTTTGTCTGTGTTTCTGCAGAAGTGGCAGTGTGTTGAAGACGCCACAGGAAAGCTGAGGTTGTCTAAATGCAAAGGCATGGCCAGTCTGTCTGCAGTGCGGAAGCCGTCTGTATCCAGCATCAAATCACAGATTTATCTGCAGAGCATGAGCACTGATGCCAGCGTGAACTCTGAGCCTCAAGGCTGCAATTGTGAACCCACAAGCTACAGACTGAGCACCTTCTCCAAGAATAAACTGTTCTCCAAAAAGAGTGAGTATGACTAGATACTGAGCTACAAACACATGCAGCAACAAGTCCTCCAAAAAATCATGCAGGAGGCATTAGCTGAATTATTCTCTGTGCCTCTGCTGCCCTCTAGTGGAGGTGGGGCGTAAAAGAAAATGGACTTCTAATTAATATGATCAGAATTGTCATGAAATTTTTAATATGTAAACAAATTCTGACTTGATTTGTTAATATATATATATATATATATATATACAGTGTATATATATATATATATAAAAAAAAAATTTTGGAAACAAATCAAATCAGGTCTTTGAGCAGAATTTCTTTACATACTAAAAATGTCATGACAATTAAAAAAAAACAAAGGTCTCTATATCTAATATAGTATCTAATATGAAAAAAAAAAATTGGTCCTTGACAAGTGATAATGGCAAGCCCTGCATTTGATTGACAGAACTGAAATCCCTGAAGAGCTACTCCAGGAACCGCTTTGCCCGTGCTGTTTCCATGGAGATGGGAGGAGACCTGTACGCAGTGGACCTGGATCATGAATACAGACCCTCAGGCCCCAGAAACCTCAGCGTCGGGCAGAACACCGCAGACGAGGACGAGTTCAGTGGTGTGGGACCCACTGCAGTCAGCCAGACCAGCAACAGCCTGACTGTGCCCTCCTCTATTAAAGTCACTCACAGGTGAGGAGTGAGAGTGTGTGTGCTTCAATAGAGACACATGACGGACAAAAGAGGGAGTATATGCATCAAAGAGAATGTGTGTGTGTGTGTGTGTGTGTTTCAGATGTTTCATTTTGGCCAATGATACAGTAAAATGTGACGTTGGTCTGTACAAATCGCTGCAAGCATGGAAGGACCACAAGCTCCACATCGACCACGAAGTATGACACACTTATGATTTGCTCACATGCATTTTGTTTCAAATCTGTATGAATTCTGATATATGGTAATATAAAAGGGGATGTTTAGTAGAAAGTTGTGAACAAAAAGTAAACAATGACCAGCTGTAAGCTCAAAAAAGATTTATAAAAAATACTCATGTATCATATTCCCAGTCTTCCAACTTTAATTCTGTACATTTATATTGCATAAGTTATATCGTTATGTACATTATCCTTTCTTTTCCCAGATCGAAACACTCCAGACGAAGATTAAAAACCTTCGTGAGGTCAGAGGTCACCTGAAAAAGGCTCGACCTGAAGAGTGCGACTGCAACAAATACTAGTGAGAGTCACATCTGTCTCTTATTATCTCTTTACAGGTGTTCTGTATTTGTCAGATTCATTCATATTTTTAATAATCATTCATTAAATTCCAATAAATTACATTAAACTATTATGATCCTTTAATTTTTAATACTTAAATCAATAATGAATGTCTTTAATGTAATGTATAATTCCATACAACAAATGAAATACATAATAAAATACATTTTATATTAAATATTAATATATATATATATATTGAAATGAATTACACAATGTTATCAAATATAAATTGTAATATGTAATTAATAGATACTGTATGTTACAGAAATTATTACTTATACAGTACATTATATACATTATTATGCATTAATTATTTTAATATATGCTGGTTATAATCCTATTTGGTGATGGCTCACTTAATTTTTCTTCTCTTTTAGTTACAAATCCAAGTACAAGAGTAAGCTGAGGAAATTCAAAGCAGGAGGTGTCCATCCCTTCAGGTGGGTTTTTGTGTCTGAGTGTATGTATACATATGTATGCATGATTATGGTTTTGATGATTCTCTCTGTCTCTGTAGGAAAGGACAGGAGAAGGATAAGAAGGCCTGGTTGTTGTTGGAACAAAAGCGCAGGAAGAAGCTGAGGAAGTTACTGAAGCGCCTGCGTAACAATGACACCTGCAGCATGCCTGGCCTCACCTGCTTCACACACGACAACCAGCACTGGCAGACCGCTCCATTCTGGACATGTAAGACACACACACACACACTGTAAAAAATATTGCTTTTACAACTGCATGCAAAGAATTAAATCCATCTGGATCTGATGCATAAGGCAAACAGTTGAAGTAATGGGGTTCCCTGCACATTGAAAAAAGAGCCAGATTTGGCCAGATTTGTTCAAAAGTGACACCAAGCGTTCATATGTAACGAGCTATGAGTGAGAATGTGTTGACTGCATTGATGTGTCTCACACGATTTCATCTTTGTTTCCAGTGGGGCCGTTTTGTGCGTGCACTAGTGCCAATAATAACACCTACTGGTGCATGAGGACCATTAATGAGACACACAACTTCCTGTTCTGTGAATTTGCCACTGGATTTCTGGAGTACTTTGACATCAACACGGATCCGTATCAGGTCAGTGATCATGCTGTATATAAAGACAACATCAAATCACCATGGACCATGTTTACTTTCCTAATAAATGGTCCTACTCTTAGTGTACACTATTCATCAGTGCATTATTTAAAGAAAAAAAGCAGAATCATTCTTCACAGTGTAATAGCTTATTCTGCCTCTGAAAACAATTTCTTAATCACGGCCACATGGACAGGGGAAAATAATATTGATCAAACATATCATAGCCTGACATCAACCATCAAGTCAAATATCGATGGATGACTTGTGTTTCTTCAACTATAGGCACATTTTGCCCTGTGGAAAATTAATAGGAAATTATTAATTATATTAATTAATAATTAATTGTTGATTATTAATTATTATGAAGAAAAATAAATTATTATTATTAACAGAAATAATTTCTTAAAACACACTTTTCACACTCACATTAGTTTATTTTGACTAACAGTGTCCAACAGTGAACATACATTCATTTCATGAGAATTCTGTTTTTTTTTCTTCTTCTGTATTCTCGTGAATATTTGAATCATAGTGTCATATACACTACATCTCAGATTATTGTATCACAACATTCTTGCGAATGGCCTTTTGAACTTTTAAAATGGCAAACTCTTTTGTTTTGCCGAGGCTAATTTCGTAGCTCATGTTTCATGTTTAAACTAAAACAATTACAAATAAAATAATTCTGCTTATATGTAGTATTTACTTTTTTTGTTTGTTTGTTTCCTCCATTCATCATGTGACATTTTCATCTTCTGTTGTCTACTGGTGTCACATTAGTCAACAAGAACACAAAACACTTTACTAGGGGCAAAACTGTTTTGCTGTGGGAGAAATTACGGCACAATTTTTGACAAATTAAAAACAAAACAAAAACATTTTCGCAAAATAAGTATTGAAATGGTAACAGAACTTGGAAATTCAAATGCTTTTTTATACTGCAACAATATTTAGTCAAAAATGTCACCAAAAATGAATGTTATATTAATGTCTGTGTTATGTTGCATCTCTCTGTGTGTGTATAGTTGGTGAATGCAGTGAACACACTGGACCGGTATGTTCTCAATCAGCTGCATGTTCAGCTCATGGAGCTCAGGGGCTGTAAGGGACACAAGCAGTGTAACCCTCGCACACGCAGCCTCGACTTCGGTGAGTCACACACACACTCATATAGGTGAAAATACCTCCGCAGCACACACACACACACACACATACACACAGCTGCATCATTCTTCTAGGCATCCAGCCCAGAGCTGGCAACACACTGACTAATACATGTGCCAGACACACACACACACACACACACATACATTTCCCTCTGAAAGGACCAAGGCAAAGGATAACATGGAATTTCACATCTTCATCATCATCATCCTCACCTGATCCCTGGCCCTGCCTTGCTTCCTGTCTTCCTTGTTTTATATGCAAACAGAAACTCGTACCGTCACCTCCTGAGCTGCTGTCCTGAAGGGTAAACATGTGCCACACAGCATGCTGTCTGAGGATGGTATGTCCTCAGTTGTATCTGACATGTAGTCCTTGCTCTCAAAGTCATCAAACTCACACGGACGTGACTGAAATTCGTTTTTAGCGGAAGTGATCATTCCAGTGATAAAAACAGAAGAGGCACATTTATTGAGTCTCTTATTGATTCACTCGAAATGAACTCAAGGACAGCTCGTGTTAAAGGAACTCACCGGTGCCTGCAATCTGATTACATTTCTCAAAAGGTCACATTAAAATGCAAGCGTAGAATGAAAACTTAAAATGTTTGTGGACAAAGGTGATTTATTTTAGCATGAACTGCTTGGTCAAAATCATAATAATAATAAAAAACAACAACAACAACAACAACAAACCAAAACGAATAATAATAAAATACAAATAAAAATGCATAGAAAGGTTGATTTTTTTTCTTTGTTTAAATACACAACTGTTTAGATAGGGGTTGACAAGATAGTTAATGGGTTTGAAAGAAGTTTATTATTACAGTTTAAAATAAAAGTTTTAAACTTTTGTATTGAAAATGTATTTTCAGCTGCCAAGATATAATTTAATTTAATTTAATTTTCAATCAAAAAAACTTGCTGGCTCCAAATGTTTGAAGAGTAGTGCATCAACAGCAAAAAAAAACTTTTTTTTTTTTTTTGTAGTCAAGCTCATATTTTCTTATGTGTTAAATAGTTTCGCCACAGATTGTATATTTTTATTGTAAATATTTCTTAGACACTTGATCTTTGATATTAACAAGCATGGGAATTGCTTTTTCTTCCTTCTGAAAGTTGATCAACTTATTTCTTTTGCGAACTGTGTACGACTTTATTGTTAGTTGCAGTTTGGTATTTACATTTAGCATTGTTTGACTTTGACGCAGTTTTACAGAACAGATTGAGCTTGCCATAAAAAGTTGGTTGAGGTTTTATTGTGCATGAAAGTCATCTGAAAGGGATCAGGATAGCAGTTTATCAGCTTAAGATGAACATTAATATTCTGCATCTGCATATTGAGCCTGCAGATTCATCATTTTCCAAAAGATGACTTTTATCAAGCTCATTTATTCTGACCCTTGCAATTCCATCCACAACAATGGATGATCTTATCTTGGCACTGCGACCTTCCACATGACCCTTGGACAGAAGCCCAGAGTTGTTTTTCCAGTGATGCTTCCGTGAGGATCTTAAACATTAATGGGGCTGTACATCATATTGTTTTTACACTCTCTAACTAATGATATTGTCTCTTCTTCAGGGGGTAAAGAGAGAAGCAGCTATGATGAATACAGGTATCACTGCCAAATGAATTTAACCCCGTTGTAGACTAGAAAGCTACTGTGAGAGTATTTTGGATGAAGATACTAATCCACTTCTGCAGTTCTGTTGTAGACAGCTTGGAGCTTAAATGAATGTTGAATAGTCTGATGCACATCACACACACCTAAAGGCATCACAGGAATTCACTCCTCAATGTGAAATCAAGGAGAAGACATTCTGTCATAGAGGATGACGCGGAGACTAGAACCGATTTGATGTCAGTTTGCTGTTAAAGGAATGTTTCAGGTTAAATAAAAGTTCTACTCTATAGTCATAATAATGACTCATTCTTCAGTTTGTAAAAATGAAAATCTAGTATACTATAATGCAGCGGTTCCCAACCCTGGTCCTGGAGGCACCCCAACACTGCACGTTTTGCATGTCTCCTTTCTCTGACACACCAATTTCGGGTCTTGAAGTCTCTACTAGTGAGCTGATGACCTGAATCAGGTATGTTTGATTAGATATTCTGGTATCTCTAAAAGCAATTATATTAATTCCTCTGTACAGAACTGCCTTATTTGAGTTATACAGCTGTCTAAAACACCCTTTAATGAAGAGACTATTACTCTAGGTGGATGAACTTCCAGTTACTATGCTGTAGGTATTCTGCATGTAAAGTCTCTTTCTGTTATCCTTATATTTATTATGTGTAAGTTACTGAGCACAGAGTATCCTGTCTTTGCGCCACATACTTTAATTGTAAGGGTTTTCCTGTAAACACAACTTTTGCTTGTTTTTAGAGATTGGCAGATACATTTTGCAGATACTGATAATTAAGGTGGGAACACATTGAAGAATTAATCTGACTATAATTTTTTTTTTTTAAATCAATAATATGAAGGAACATTTTCCACATACTATAAAACAAAGGTAATAACTGTTATATTTAATGATTATTTAATCAAATCAATAATTCCCTACACTGAAAAAAAATATTCATTAAATTTACCCTTTTTTTAAGGTAAGTGGTTGCAATCAGTTTATTTTAGCTACATTTAAATAAACCAATTTAGTTGACTGACTCTCAACATTTTTTTTAATGTAGTTCAAAAAAAATTGTTTGCAACCACTTACCTTTAAAAAAATGTAGTATCATTTTTTTCAGTGAACAACACACTGATGATTTATAGTATTGTTATTTTCAAAATGTGAATTATGTACAAGAAATGGAGAAAGAAAAAAACTGAAATTGTTAACTGGTGGCACTGATTAATCAGTAAAAGCAATAACAATCTCTGTCATTTTCACAAACTGAGAAAGAAGTATTAAGTACAGTCTGCCTGTTCCAACAGAAAAACATAATCAACAACAACAAAAATAATACAATTAAACAATAACTAAGTCTAAATCTAACAATTTATGCATGCAAAATGGATTTCAAGAGAATGGAAGACCATATATGATTAATAAATGACCAGCCTAGGGATAAATGTATTATCACATAAAGGATTGATTATTAATATCACACTACCGTCAGTAGGACTTATATATATTATATATAATTTTATTTAGCAAGGATGCATTATTAAGATTTCTATTCCAAATACATGTTGTTCTTTTGAGCTTTATTCTTCAGTTAAAAAAAAAAAAGTTTCCACAAAATAATATTTAGCAGCACAACTGTCTGGCATATGATTTCTGAAGGATCATGTGACACTGAAGACTGGAGTAATGAAGCTATAAATTCAGCTTTGCATCACAGGAATAAAGTTAAAATAAAGTTAATACGTTCTAAAATATATTCATATACTAAAATATATCAATTGTAATGATATTTCACAATATTATTGTTTTTCCTGAATTTTTGATCAAATAAATGGAGCCCTGGTGAGCATAGGAGACTTCTTTCAAAAAATATTTAAAAAATCAAACCAACTCAAACTTGTGATCGGTAGTGTAAATATATGGACCTTTTTCTAAGCTAGTTAGTTCTTATAAACCTCATGACCAACCAAACCCACCCACTCAGTATGTGGGTCCAATTGCAAACATTTAAACTCCCAGTTACTTCCTTGACAGATCAGATGTCTTCTCCTTCAGATTCTGTACTCTCTGTCTCGGTGTCTTTGCCTCTCTTGTTTTGTCTCCCTCTCTCTAGCCCTGTTTTGTGCCTTGCATGTATTCAGCCTTGGGTGTTGTGTGAATGTGAAAGCCTTTAAATTCTCTGATTGGCTGTGTCTCTATCACATGCTTGAGTTTGGGGGCGGGGTAACAGTTTGTCTTATCATTGCTTGTCGCATTAGGCAGTTTCAGCGCCGGAAATGGCCTAAAGTGAGGAAGCCTGTCTCCAAATCGCTGTGAGTTTGGATAATAATTCTGCTTCTCGTCCGTAGGATACAATGCCACCAAGCCACTACCTTGTCTGAATCACAGTTCTCTCCCTCTCTCTTTAATTTCCTTTCTCTTGAATGCATCTGCCTGGCCTGCATGATACAGCATTAGTTTGTAGAGGCGTCTATCTGCATGGAAACTGTTTGGAAAAATAGCAGTTTTGTTTCTGAGCACGAGGGAAGATTCCCATCACACGCCCCCCCATCATCTTCACCTCATTTCATTTGAAACCTGAAACATTTACGTTCTTCCTTCACCATCACAAGCCTTTTCAGGTTTTTTTTTTTTATTGTAGTTTATTTTCCAATCACAAGCATCCATCTCTATTTTGATGCATCCACTTTTAATGAGTGCCTTAAATTGTTTTGTCGCTGGGCGAAAATGTTTAACATTTTTGGCCGTGTTCCCCCACAGAGGACAGATATGGGAAGGATGGGAAGGATAACTCATGGAATGAGGGCGTCCCGGAAGACATCAACATGTTTCCCGGCGAGCCGAACTGGTCCGAACTTGAACCTTTGTACAGACTTGATGAGCACGCCTACGATCTCAAACTCAACTTCACCCTCAGCCTCGAGGACTGGGCTCATTTCAGCCGCTCCGTGGACCACATGTTCACGCTTCTCAGCAATGACAACCAACCGTACTCTCCACGCCGCCCTGACGACAGACAAACAGGAAGAGGCCACGCCCTGGTGTCCTCCAGCCAATCCGCTTCAGCCATCTACCTGACCACTCTGGCCACGCCCGCTCTTTTATTGAAGGAAGCTGGCGCTGAGGTCTTAAGAGACGTTTTGGGGCTAAACCAAGTGGAACGTCCCTCTTCTTCTTCTCCTCCTTCGCCTTCATCACATCCCATGCGACCTGCGGGCTGGGACACTCCTCTTGGAGAACTGAAAGGGGACAAACAAATAGAAGGGAGGGACGATGATGAGGAGGAAGAGGAGGAGTTTGTTCAGAGACGGACAGGAAGGTTAAGCTCCGCCCACTGTGACTGCAATGACATTTTGCAGGAAACGGTTTGACTCTCATGTAACGTTCCTCTCTCATACCGTCCCTCCTCAGAGAGACATCGCAGAAAACTTCTAAATTTGATGGAAGTGAAGAAAGAGGCTGTTTAATGCCAGCGTACAGTCCTTCGGTTTGTTTTTCTTCTCCCATATGTTCCCTCGCTCCATTATGGACTGGCCTCAGAAGCGCAGCGACACCCAGCGACATTTCCGTCTACAGTTGGACTGTTTTCCCAACTTGTCCATAAGATCGGCTAGGCTTTGAACAGAGCACATTTTTATCTTTTAACTTAGATTATTTACTCTATTTTTATTCTTTCATCTTTTTTTGATGGGATTTGGGAAGGTTGGGGGTTAAAATTCATAGCAGTAAAACTTCACAACGATTGAGTTGTTGTGACCGTTCATACTTGATTCAGTTTGAAACCGGTTTTGCACCATTATTCTTGATGGCTGCTTTTCTCATTTTGGTGTCTCCAGAGGGTGTCTCACTTTTTGGGACGATAACTTTTACAGCCTTCACTGAACAAAACCTCAAACAGATCAATGACGAATGTGTGTTTGTGTGCTGTGTGAGTGTGAACACGCTGTATCTGAAGTCAAAAGTGAATTTGAGAGCATTCTGATTTCATTTGTTGCTCCCAGTGTATGTTATAGTATTATTTCGTTTAATCTTAAATATTGGACAGTTTTTTTGTTCAATAGAAATAAAATCTAAATTTCTTACAATTTCTTTGCTGTTATTGCAGCATAATGAGTTGAACCAACTAACCACAAAAACAAAAAAGAAAGAAAAACAGTTAATTTGATGTATCGGTCATTATTTGTATTTGACAAAATTGTATGGTTTCCCCAAGCAGATTGAGAACGAAATTTTGATGTACCGAACATGCCACGTCATATTTGTAACCTTTGCTTGTTCTTAAAACCTTTGCTGTACACAATGCTACTAATATCAGAGCAAAAATATTAAATGGATGTATGTATTTTAATGTGTTTGCAATGTAAATGGTTAAAGGATATTTTTATTACACATTTGAAGCTAAACTGACCACCAGACATAAAGATTTCACTCCAGCTTCAGGTTTATTTATGCTGCATATTTTAACAGTTCTTTAATACACATATTCAGTTTGTTATGGTGACATATCTAAGATTTTTTAAATTATTAATCCACCTTCCTGATGTATTTCATCCATCCCTGTTTTGAGATCAGTTTGGTTCTTTGATGATTGTGATTCTATTGTTCAAGAGGGTAATAATCTGATCCCTGATCAGTCCACTTACTCTGGGATACTTCATCAGCACAGGTCATTGTGTTCACATATTTCATATCAATGTACAACATCCACCCCTCACCTCTCGTGGCTGTACTAAAAGCAGTTTTGTCTGAGATTGTGTATGGTTGTTTTAAATACCACCATAATTATTGTAAAGATGTACTGTGCATAAACTGGAGGATAGGAGACAACTTGGAGAGAAGGAGAAATGTTCCTTTGGCACTTTTTTTTGGAATAGGAATTAAAAAAAAAAAAGATGAGATGGTTTTAACAAAGTCTTGTAAAGTTCTATAGATTTATCATGCCTATATTTTTCGTTTTGGTTTACCAGTGAACATTTGATAGTGCTCATTACTTTGTGAATAAAGTGTTGAATGCCCAAATTACTTTGTATTGGTCTTTTTTCCCAACAAGTTTGTGCCATGTGTTACCTTGTGATATGCAGGGTTATGTTTAAAGGGGACATATTATGTCTATTACATATATGAAATATAAGTCTCAGGTGTCCCCAGAATGTGCCTGTGAAGTTTCGGCTCATAATACCCCACAGATCATTTATTATATCATTTTGAAAATGCCCATTTTGAGTGGAGGACTGGAAGTGGAAATGGATGTATCTTCAAAAGCAAATGAGCTGCTTCTCCCCGCCCCCTTTTTTATAGCTCGTGCCTTGGATGCTCCACCAGTGCCAAAACATCAGTTTGGTTTTGATTATCATGTCTGTCGCGCTTAAAGCTTATTTGCATGCGTTTTAAAGATAGTCGGTTTAAACTTCTGATACAGTTTTCTGAGCGCACACATCCACAGAAAGCAGCAGAGAAAAATACTGTAGCAGGCAGATCACTCACTGTTCATGATGCACGAACTAATCCTCAATATTGATTTGGGGGTTTATATGAATGTGTTTCTGAGGGGAACTGACTGTCTTCAGAAAAGTTTACGTGGTATTTTCTTTTAATCTCATCTCTGTATAGTTCATTTAAAGCAGTGTTTCAGCGCAGTGCTGCTGTGTTAACAGCGGTAACTAAGGAAAGACTGTATCTGCTGTTCCAGAAGCGCCTCCTGCTGTCAGAGAGTGAATCTGCGTCTCATTCAGAGCTTCTTCTGTTCGCTTCATTCAGGCATGCAGCATAATTTCACAACGCTAGTCAGAACATTCTGTTTTTGCTTCAAATTGGGTTATTATTAATTCAAATGATGTATATGAAATTATATAACTAAATGATATGAAATGATATAAATGATATGTATAGGAATTATATAACTAAAATTAAATAACTGTAATTACAGATTTAGGTTAGATAAAGACGTCAGTCTATATTTTTCATCTTTTTAGGAAACAAATCAAAGAAAAATAAACAAATTCTACTGTTCCCAATATTCTGTATGTTGCTCAAAAACTAAATATATTGTGTTCAGTGTTTTTTGTTTTTTTTTACCCCGTCATTTAAAAAGAACACATTTTAGAGCTGTAACGACAATACCGTGATACCGTGAAACCGTGATATTTTTGCTTAAAGTTATCATACCGTCAAAATCTCATACCGGCCCATGCCTAATCTCACAATTCTGACTTTATAACTCGCAATTGCGAGTTTAAATCTCGCATTTCTGATTTGTGAATTTCTCACAATTGCCCGTTTATATTTAGTTTAGTTTATATCACAATTCTGAGGGGAAAAGGTCAGAATTGCGAGATGTAACGTCAAAACTGCGAGAGAAAAAAAATCTGAATTGTGATATAGAAATAAATAAAACCTTTGTTATTTTGTATTCAGCGCCATAGTGACAAAGCGGGCAGCCTGTACTACCGATACTCGCCAGCAGATGGCGCCACGCGTCAAACTCGCTCATTCCGCCTCAGTGAAACTCCAGCAGGCTGCGGTGGAGATCAGATTACTCGAGCATGCATGGCCCTTGCTGAAGAGGGCGGGGGAATAACCCACTCCACTGTCTGCCTCAAACTCCTGCGGGACAGAAAGCCTGAACTCCACATTCACAGTCTCAGTGCAGTCTGCGCAGTTTCTGCCAGAGGACACATCTCACTGCTTTCACTTCCATTAGTCCAAACAATGTGAGGAACATGGCTGACAGAAGGTAAGATGGATCATTTTGCTGAGTTGTGGAAACATGTTGCAGTTGCACAATGCTGTTGAGCTCAGTTTGCTGATGGGGAATCGCGTGGGTAACTTTGAAATAGAAACTATGTTTGTTCATTGTATCGGGGGTCTGGATGTCACATTAGTGGGATGTTTTGATTAAATGAAATACAGACTACATCAGGTTATACTGTTGCTGTGTTTATAAAGTCTTACGCACGGACTGAGATGTTCAAACAGTGTTTGCATGGTCAAAGTTCAGTGAAAACTAGTTTGAAACCGATTATGATGTTGCTTATCAATTTTAAAGTTATTTAATTAGTATATAAATTAACTTAAGAACTGTCAGGGTAATTACACACATTTAAACAATGACTTTACCAATACAAAACAGACAGCAACTTTCAGTATTTTCAGTTTTTACACAAATCTAATAGATTTTTATTTTTGTAGTTTGTTTTTATTTTATTTAATTTATTTTTACATTGTCCATGTTGCCTTTTTGCTCTGTTTCTGTTTTACATTAATATATATATATATATATTGTTAACCTTGTTACTATTCTCTTTCCCTTGTAACCTTCCTTTATTACAACGATTTACATATCCATAGATTAAAAAATACATTATAAGCACATGTTGTCTTTTTATCATTTTATGTTACATTTTGTTTATCAGTAGTGGATGATTTTAAATAGCCATCAAAATTACCGTGATGACAAGTAATCATTGTAAACTGGATATGTGGTGAAACATCAGCATTCATTGCATATTATCAGAATAAAACACACTTTGTACTGATTTGACATTGAGATGGATGCTAATAATGATACATTAACTTTAAAACTGTCAACCTTGTCACATTTTACCTGGTTACTTTTTCAACATTTATTTTGTTTGAATTTTGCTTTAGATGACACAATGCAGTTTATTAACACTTGAAGTCATTGCTTGTCTGACAAAATATTTAAAGGGGTCATATGATGCGATTTAAATTTTTCCTTTCTCTTTGGAGTATTACAAGCTCTTGGTGCATAAAGAGAAACTACTTTGTTTGGCCTTCCAAAAGAGGACAATATCCGCTTCGTCATGCCTGGAGCTGATCCGTGCTGGTCGCTGAGGGAATACATCAACTTAGTGCTGTGGATCGCCGGATCAGCTTTCACCGTTTTCACCGCTCCTTCGCTGGGACCGCTGCTCTCGACCCCGCCGCCTCAGCTCACTCTTGCGCTCGCGCTAGGCCGCTGTGTTTTTTGTTGTGAAAGCGAAACTACTTTGTTTGGTCTTCCAAAAGAGGATGCTATCCACTTCGTCATGTATGTATCCCAGTATGGTAAGGGGCGTAACATTTCCGTCACACGCTTGAGGTATTCGGCCAATCACAATGCACTGGATAGCTGGCCAATCAGAGCACACCTTGCTTTTTCAGACCGATGAGTTTTGTAAAAATCGACGCGTTTCAAAAAGGCGGGGCATAGAGGAGAAACAATAATGTACAGTATGTGGAAAATAATGTGTTTATTGAACCTTAAACCGCATAAACACATTTCATTACACCAAATACACAAAATAATGTTCTTTTTAGCAACATCATATGACCCCTTTAACAGCTAATAAAAGAAAAAGGAAAAAATGGACAACACCCATTTCATTGAACTAAGTTCGACACTAAGTAAAATATAGATACCTGAACTATATTTTCATGTCAGAAGTCTCTGTGATCTATATTAGATGTTCAGAGTTGTGATGGGTTGATTAGTGGGGCAGATTGATGAACAGATGCGATGCGGCTGTTGCAGGCTGGTCCAGTGTCATCTTCCAGGTGTCAGCATTAACGGAGTTAATACGGTGGATTTTGGCATGTTTTATTAATCATGTTGCAATGCCATATCCCTTTGCATACTCAAAGACCTCCTCTGAAGCCAGGACAAACACTGACAGCTTTTCTGAACTATTGAAATATTCACAAAGCCATATGGAGTTACTATTAGACTGGAGACTGAAAGTTTGATAATGTGTCCCAATTGCTCGCACACTTAGTTGTCCATGCATTAATTATTTATAAATTAGCGAACCGAAGGATTAGTTTAGCTAAAATGGAAATTCTGCCAGGAACCCAAAACAAATGCCTTGTCCCTGATGGAAACATCAAGATATTTCTCTGGTTCTGACCTCTAAGAGGTTTTGGATTTTTATTTATTTTTTTAATTTTACAGTCTATATTTATAAATAAGCAGATTCTGTATGAAGTTTATGAGTAAATCTTTTGAGCAGATGTTGGTTGTGTTCACTGTTCCATGCTTCAGGACTTAATATGGAATGGCAGAAAGATTGTTGAAATTAAATGGCCATTTGTGATAGATGTGGGCCAGATCAGATGGAAAATGAGTTTGTGGGTGTGTGTTTTCAATGCAAACTTGGCTCAGCTGTAACTGTAGGGTTTCTGTGTGAGATGATATATCTTGGCCTCTTCCATTCACTTGTAGTATTACTGGAGAGAGGCCTAAACACAACACAAAGCTGCCTCTCCCCATGCCGTCTTCCTGTTGGCCAGTTTAGGAAACTCTTCCCAGAAGAGTTTTAGAAGACTTTCAACTGTTCATGGGACCTTCGTGATTCTTCCAGAGAACTGGAAAGGTGTGTTTCTCAATGTCGAGAGCACATCTTTGGCCTGCATGACCATATCAGGCAAATTCTATTGTGTAATTATGATTATGATGATGATTGATTTCATTCACTTTTGTTTGATTTGGCTTATTGTTTTAATAAGAAACATGCTCGTTTGTGTCTTTGTGCAACCATTTAGCCTCATTAGAGTCCATGCAATTATATTATATTATATTTATATATTTATATTGTCTATGTTTTAGATTATATTTTTATTGTATTTTATTTAACAGTATAAAGGAAGTAGGGTTTCAAAGGGGCAAAACATTTTCTGAAAGTTTGCAAAAAGTCCTGGAAAGTTTCCAAAAATGTACAGAAAGTTTTCTGCTTCTTTGCGACCTTAAAAGGAAGCCCTTAAATGAGGCTAATTTTGGGTTCATCTGACTACCATCAGGAGGCATTTACAAAAGACATGTTTTTAAATTAAATGTCACTAATTGATTGGTCAGTTGACTAGTAGGTTGTTAGTCATCTAACAGGACCCATCCCTAATAATTTAACAAAAGTTAGATGTAATGGAAAGGCAAAGGATATAAACAACCAGTTCATTTGTCAGTAAAATATATAGGATATACTTTATTTATATAGTTTATAGTGATGTCAAACGATTAATCGCGATTAATCACATCCAAAATAAAAGTTTCTGTTTACATAATATATGTGCATTTACTGTGTATATTATTATGCATGTATAAATACACATACATACTGCATATATGTTGAAAATATTTATATGTATATATTCATATAATTTATATTATATATAAATATATTTAATATATAAGTGTAACATATTTTTCTTAAATATATACATGCATGTGTGTGTTTATGTATACATAATAAATATACACAGTACACAGTTATATATTATGTAAACCATTTTTTATTTTGGATGTGGTTAATCGCGATTAATCATTTGACAGCACTAATATTTTATTTTAGTATTATTTCTGTACCATTATAGTATTAGTTTATTTTATTTTTGTAGCATTTCTATTTAATTTTAGTTTACAAATTGTATGTGTTTTTGTCTTTTTTGTTTAGCTTTATTTTTATTTCAGTTCTAGTTTGTCATTTTTGCACTTATTTTACTGCAGAGGCACCATATTAAAGTTATTTCTTCATTCACAAATTATAATAAATTTTTTCAGCTTTATTTCAGCTTTATTTAAAAACAACAAAAATTGTTTTTAATAATTTTAGTTTTAGTTATCATTAACAACACTATAGTTCATAGTGTATATAGGCCTGTATGTGTGTGCTGACAGCAGTTTTGGATTTTCAAAGCCATACTAGATAACCGCTTCATCCAGCACAGATCTCTGCTCTGTTCTGAGTGTCTGCAAACCATTCAGTGTTTTTTACAGCGTGCTGTCGAACACATTAGTCATAAAAGACTCTTTGTAAATCATTTTAATAGCCATTGTAAATTAATGAAGAGCTCTGTTGAGAATCACTTCTCAAACAACGCTAACACATATGACCCCTACATTCTGTGTCTGTGTGTAGATGGCTTCACTGGCACACTAAACGTGCACATTCTCTCTGAGTCACGTTTTAAAGCAGCTTTCCCAGAGTAGGTGGGTATCTGCTGAATATTAACCCAATAGTGCTAAAGTAAAAGCGTTTAGCCTGTAGTGGCAGTCATTAAGTGCACAGTAGGGCATGTCTGCGGCTGTCTGAAAATAACTCACAACCCCCACTGAGATGATAGGAAACTGAGCCAGACAGCGCTCAAAATCTAACCCGGCTCTCCCTCTAGCAAGGTGGAGTTTTCTTTACTGGTCAGATTCACTCTGCTGAACTGCTGAAACTCTCTTAAAAACGGACACACGTCGGCCTGATAACATAACTATTTTACAAATAGGTGATATTGAATGAATTTGTACAATTTAATTTAAAGTGAAAAAAAAAAAAACTACTTTATGTTGTTTAATTAAATGAATTTCTACGATTTGATTTAAAAAGAGAAAACATAGCTGCTTTTCAAATTGGCGATATCAAATAAATATATACGATTTGATTTTAAAGAAGGAAAAGTAACTTTTTTGGTGATTTTCGAATTTGTATGATTTGAGTTAAAGGGGTCATATGATGTTGCTAAAAAGAACATTATGTTGTGTATTTGGTGTAATGAAATGTGTTTATGCGGTTTAAGGTTAAAAAAACACATTATTTTCCACATACTGTACATTATTGTTTCTCCTCTGTGCCCTGCCTTTCTGAAACGCGTCGATTTTTATAAAGCTCATCGGTCTGAAAAGCAAGGTGTGCTCTGATTGGCCAGCTATCCAGTGCGTTATGATTGGCCGAATACCTCAAGCGTGTGATG